TTATGGTGTATGCTCAACAAATGGAGGAGGATAAACTAAGGATAAATCTAGGGAGAAAAAGAGGGCTAGGATGGACGATGATAATTCCTTTCACGAGGAGTCCGATAGACATGGTCGCTCTAGGAAGCGACAAAGACTTTTCGGACAAGGTTCTTTTTAATACTCCTAAGTATAAGGAGGATAGGGTACCTAACCCTAACCCACAAGGAATTAGCAGTGAGTCCCTATGATCTACCTATGCTAGGTATGGTAAGAGACATGAGGGTAGGTGTTTGGCGGGTAGAGAGGGTTGCTTTAGTTGTGTGAGAGTGGACACAAGATGAAAGATTGTCCAAAGGTAAGGGCTACAAGAAGAGAGGGTAAATAAGTTGCCACTAGTGGTCCAGATGAGACTGCTCAAAACAAGAATAGGTTCTACGTCCTCCAAGCTAAAAATAATCAAGAGTGACCTCCTAATGTGACTACCGGTATGTGTTTCATGCTTTATTAGATTCCGTTATTGTTTGGTCTTTTATGAATTAGTAGATTTGATATGATAGACTTTGATGTTGTCTTTAGTATGAATGAGCTTCATTGTTGCTTTTATGTTATAGATGGTGCTTAAGAAGTCAACCTAGGCTTACTCCCAAGGGTGAGATGGTGTGCCTAGATAGCAAGGCCATTGTGTGTCTCTGTGTGGCCATGAAATCTTTATATGAATGTTAAAAAAATTAGGTCTTGGTAGAAATGACTTATGTGCATTGTTTTGCCTCATGTTGTAGTGCATTGAGTAGAGTTTCATATAGACTTCATGAGATGAATTATTGAGCATGCCTTAGTTTGGCTCCTTGAATAAATGCTTTTTGAGAGTAAATTGCATATAGGCTCCATGAGTGTGTGTTGAGAATGTTTAGATTGAGATGGTAGTTCCTCCTTGTATATGAGTAAATATAGAATTTGCATGCATTTTGGGTTGATAGATGTACTTCTTACTTCCCTATGTTGCATTGAGTATGTTTATCTCGGAGTTGAAGTTTTCTTTCTTAGTTGTGTGCATTTAGATGTGTTGCATGCATGATGGGATGATAGTCTAGAGTCATTTTCTTTAAGAAGTTCTTAGAATCATCATTCGAGGACGAATGTCCCCAAGGGGGAGATAATGTAACACCCCGTAGTTTAGTAGACAATCTAGGGCTAAGTTGAAGGCTACAAGTCAAGGCCAAGAGGGAATGAACCAAGGAGAAGGGGCAAGAGCCAGGGCTTCCCCAAGCTTGCCATGGAAGTGCCTTGGACCACGATAGCCTTCAGGCTTGTGGTGGCCTCCACGGCTCATGGCCTCACTCGTGGTGGTAAGGCAGTGTACCCTCCAGAGCTGCCCAAGAAATGGCTCATCTTTATGAGCCACTTCACGGCCAGTGGTGAGGACCACAACTCGTGGGAAGGCTCGTTAAGAAGCCTTAGTTTGTGGAGGCCAAATACTTCAAGCCTTAGCCACTACCGAAGGACCACGATTAGGACCACGATTCGTGAGCCCTGTCCTGGTGCCTGGCACCATGGTTGCCTAGTGAGGAGTCTTTTAGTAAATTCCTTTTTAGTTAGTTTTAAGTGGGGGTCGTTTCGTTTGGACTTTATACACCTATATAAACTATTTTTAATCTTTAACAACCCCAATTAAGTCATTAATTCCAAAACCCCAAGAGATCCCAAAGTTCTTCATCTCAAAAATCCGCTCTCTAGAAAACTCCAAGAAGAAGAAGAAGAATATAAGATAGGTCAAAATCCTCCATTCTTGCAAGAAATATGAGGGATTATAATCAAGGTATGATAGCATATTCATCCATGGATTCTTCCATCCGTGGAGCCCCCTAGATTTCCCCCAATTGTGAAGATAAACCCCAATTCTAGCTAGGGTTTCTTCCTATATTGTGGGTAGTGTTGAGTACGAATCCAATTGAGTGGAAATTACTTGTTTATGATTGTTTTAGTATTGAATCATGATATTATGATGAATTTATGTATTTTTCATGGTTAACCCTAGTCTAATTGATGGAATTGAATTATGTGGGTTTATGCCATGAGAGGTGAAATTGAGGATTCATAGATGATATTCTAGAATTGGTGTTATGAGTAGTAATTGTTCAAGAATAGAAACATGTAGAAATTAATTGAACTAGATTATGGTATATATGATGGTTCATGACTAGAAAAGTTGAAGTTGAACCTATATAATGAATTGTGACTAGAATCACTTGATAATCAAGAATGTGATTAGAATGCCTCAAAATCTAGGTATGAATGATGATTGTAAGAAATAAATCTTTGATAGTAAGGCTTGTAGTTATGAATGTTGATTCCTAGTGCTTTTAGAGTAAAGATAATATGATGAACTATGAATGTTAGAGCTTTGACAGTAAATCTACTATGATGTGATCTTTTTGTGTATTTTTGAAAAGATATTCTCACTTACACACTTAGGCATGAATATGCTAGGAGATGAAAGGTTATCTCACATATAATGATTTTAGGTTGAAAGGCTTACTAACCTAAAATGAATCAAAACATGTCAAACTTGAATAGCTTGAAGTTGTGACTTAAGCTCCCTTCATGAATAGCTTGACTTGGTAAGATAAGACCATTCTTGGTAGCTTGAGTTAGGAGTATTTCATGGTAGGTTAGCATTAAGGAATCATACTCTCATAAGGGTAGCTTGAACTAGCATCATACAATGCTTGTATGGTAGCATGACTTGGTTAGGGCATGACCATTTCATGGTAGCTTAGGATTGAGAAATCATACTCTCCTAAGGGTATCTTACATTATCATCATAGGGTGCTTGTATGGTATCATGACTTAGTTGGTCTAACACTAGTTCATGGTAGATAAGAGGGAACACTTGTACCCTTCCTAGAATAGCTTGGACTTGCATGATTCATGTAGTTTCCATGACAGCTTGGTCTAGACTAATAGGGTGCTATTCCTTGGAAATCTAGAATGATTAATAGTAATCATTGAAGTATGATAGCCTAAAGCAGTACTTCGCATGGGTAGGATTATGGGGTGTTATTCACGCATTGCACAGGTATAAATTGTAGCTACTTATGAAGTATGTATCTTATGTGTTGCATGCTTAACTTGAGTTGAGTAATAGTACTTTTCCTTGGTTGCCTTGAATAGGTGAATTATGATCATTCATGAGTAATGACTTGCCTTAGGCTAGTAAAGAGGTACTCTTCCATGACTATTATGTATATGAGGGACAAGCCCAAATCTAAGTAGCATGTGTATGATGGAACTAGATTGCTTCAAGGAAGTAATGTGAGCATGTCCTAATGTGAGATTTGCCTATATAATATATGCATAGCTTGGAATATTGTCATAGTTGCCCTTCCTTGAATATGCTTGACTAAAGGTGAAATTTCCCTTGTCTATGAGAGATAAGCTAAGGATGAGATCCTAAGATGGTAAGTATGATTATGATGACCTAAAAGTGGTACTTAGGATGGATGGGATTATGCGGTCTCATTTATGCATTGTACAAGTATTCTTTAAGGTTACTTGGGAACTAATTCGTTTATGATATGAAGGACTACAGAGTTAAATAATGTTTATATGATGTTTATGTTGGAGACTTTGCTTATGATTATGATATCGTCTCTTGTGCTTACAGTTTATGTTTCATGAAGTATCTCTTATGTTGATGGATTATGTCTTATGTTGACTAACCCTTATGTTATGCTAGCTATCATATTTAGTACTTTTTGTACTTAACGCATACTTTTGCCTACATTATCATCAAATATAGGGTTTGGAGATTTGAGTTCCATTCTTGAAGATAGGTTTCTTGAAGTGCAAGGAGTTGAAGACTTGGTGAGTCCTCATATCTTCGAGGATGAATCTACCATTTCCTTTATGTCTTTTATTTTCATGTCTTGAGACTATTGTATGGGATTTTTCCCAAGAGTTATTCAAAAATATTATGTTAGATAGTTTGAGACAAAAAGTGTAGTAAGATTTCCGCTTCATTTTATAAAGCCTTTGATTGTATGAAAAAATGTTTTGAAATTCCGTACTTTTTTTATTATCTTTAGGTATGATATGCTAAGGGCTTGTATGAGACCCCTTCGGGGTCAAGTACGCCATGTTACATGTGGGGTGTACCCTTGAGTCGTGATACTTTCAAAGTAATCCGAACCGCTCAACGATCCACCATGCAATAATTTTATAGTAGGTCTTCTCAAAGAACTCAAAGCATACTGAAAGTGTACCGATATGGTACGTGAGCAATTCTTAGTTAATATACCGGAGTGGTACCCGAGCTTTTCATATTTAGTGTACCGGAGTGGTACCCGAGCCTACAAAGAATCACAAATAATCATGCATAATCACATATAACAATGAGAAATACCACTTGAAAACCACAAGTCACTAGAACAAGTTCATTGAATGAGATTATATGCATGATGTCCTTTCATATGTCTCCCTACTACTATGCATTGCACAAATGATACTACTAACAGTAGATGTGTATGCATACATAAACAAGAAACATACAACCATCACCTATATGCATAAACCAATATTTAGCCATTTTTGAGTCCTTACTAGGTGATGCTATTAGGTTCTTGTGTTTCTTTTTCAATGGTTCCAGTCTGTGGAAGGTCGTGGCACTTCAGGAGGCATACTCCATTCTTTTATTAGTTTCATTACTGATTAGTGTACCTATCAAGCTTAAAGGTGTTTGTTCTGATTATTTATTTGAATTGCCAAACGGGTGTATCTTCTAGGCTGATGGGATGTAATTAGATATTAGGTAGATAATTACTTTAAAGATATTTCATTCCTTACCTTGTGTGTTTCTTAATAAGATTTCTTTTACTATTTCTTTTCTGTAACTTCTAGATATTCACTTTTCCACTATTCATTAATGTTTTAACTTTCCAAGCTCAGTCGGCCTATGATGCCTATTAGTACATGTTGTTTTGGTACTCATATTACACTCTATATCTACTTTGGTGATACAGGACTCTACACCAATTACCAACATTGTTATGGAGTCAATTGCAAGAGGACTCGGAGATGAGGGTGAGCTTATGATATTCTTCTATTATAGCGGGCATAGAACTCGGGGCCCAAATAGCACCCTCACACAACCTCTGCTAGCGCAACTCCTTATCCACAATAGAAGCTCTCCTAGCTTGCGTAGTCTGCTGATGCTCCCTCTTCTTTGCCCTCGCATCCTCAGTGGCATCATAAGTGTGGATAGAACGGTGCCTCTTTCCTCAGGCACAGGTGGACTCGGACTGTGGTGTGTCCTCGCTGTGAAGAGCATCTAACACCATATCATCTACTGGTGCAGTAGGTGCAGACTCTGGCACATTCATGGGTGGAGCTAGGATGGCAACAAGATCGGCTCGAAGACTATCCAACTCAGTCTAGAAAGAGAAGATATATGTGGTGGGGTCTTGTCGCTCGAGGACTCTCAACTCAAAGGCATCCAGGCGCTTATTAATGGCCAGGACCTTCAGGTCCATGATGTGCCCAACACTGGCCTCAGACTTTGATATAGACCGATGTATCCAAGGCTTCATATGCAGAAGTAGTGTGGCCATTTTTGCCTCCAATTTTTGAACACGGGCAAGGGTCATGACAGCGGATCTTGACGAGGGTGTGCCTCTAAATGAGCTAGGGGCCGACTAGCGGCCTGAGATGGAGAGGCCGGGGTATCATCAGTAGTGGCTGGATGTTCCGTGTCTGCACCCTGTATCTGCTCCACATCCGCAACCAAATCTACACCTAATGGCGGCATCTCAACCCGTATGTTGGCCTCATCCCTAATCAGGCCGATGTCTAATGTTTTGGTTGCCTGTACCAGCTTGTCACAGTATCAAATGGGTACCCTAGCATCTCTGCACAACTGAAATATAAGGCATGTAAACGGTAGAGTGGTGGTAGTCTGAAATGCCTGCTCATGGATCTCCGCAAGCAGTATGCGGGCGAAGTCTATCTCAAACCCAGCTACCAAGGCTGCAACCATAACCGCTCGATCCCACGTCAGCGCGTTGTCTGCCTGAGTAGGAGACACCCTGTTTTGCACTAATAACTAGAAGAACTTGGCCACTAAATTCAAAGTGTCCTTCTTGATATTCAGTTGTTGTGTGCTCACCCACTCAGCACACTCTCCGTCGGTAGCGATGTGAGTGGCCAGCTAATGTAATACGGCCTCCCTCTGCTCTGCATTCTGCTGGAACTCCCCGCTCCGCACAATATACCATTTATAGTCAAATTTGGCAGTGTTGAGTGCCGAAGTGCGGGGTGGACCATAGAGGAACTGGTGGATGGTGTTCTTAGATATGTCCACAGAGAACCCCTGGACTAGTCTGGCTATGAGTGGTGCCTGGGCTGCAGGCTTGACCCATTTATAGATAGAGCTTCGGAGGGTGGCAGTGTAGGAGGCATAAAACTTAAAACTGCCTCACGATCTCCTCGCTATATAGCCCCAGGTTCCGGGCCATCCACTCACACTTATGCTTTTGGAAGAGTCGGTGGATGTCGGGCATGGTATGCAAGCTGCCTGTGAGTACCTTGTGCTCCTCATTGATCAACCTGGCCATATTCCCCTTTTCATTTATCATCTTGGCATCCCTGTATATTTGCCACTGGCCCTCAACACACCATCTATTAGGCTCCTCAGCAACCGCAGTAGGGTCGGTGTTTAGTGGCATGGGAAAGTCACCTACACTGTCCTACTTAGAAGAGGAGGCATTAACGCCAGTCGAACTGGAGCCATGGGCGAAGCCGGAGCCGGAGCCGGAGCCTAAACCTAATGAAGAAGCGAACTTAGAGTCGGGAGACAGTGACCACATCGGTAATCACCTACCGGGTTTGATTCTGGGTAATACGAGGTGCAGTTGGGGATGTCCTCATAGTAGGTGGGACATAGGCGGGATCCTTCTCTGCATCAGTATCTTCATCAATGAGCCGCAAGGTTGGTGCAACCGACTTTTGACTTGCCCTTTGCGTCATAGACCGGAGCTTTCTTGGGAGCCATGGTACCTGTGGAGGCTTAGTTAGTACCAAAATAGACTAATGACACATTCGAAATTTTTTTAGACCAAAGACCGAACCAAAACAAAAACTAAAAAAATTTCAAACAGTAGCTTCAGTGGCCACCTACGGTCCGTGGGTACCCTCCGTAGGTCAGATGTCCCAAAATGTTGGGCTCTGATAGGAACCACGGATGTACAGAATGGTCTGTAGGTTGACCTACAGACCGTAGTCCAACTCTGTGGTTCCACACTTAGTGGATTTCATATATGTGAAGACCTACGGGCCCTATCTACGGTCCGTAGGTTGACCTACGGTCTGTGGAAGGGGTCTCGTAGGTCGGATCTGTACCAGGTTTCTGACATTTTCACAATTAAAAACCAAGTTCATTCATCAATTCATTCAATCCTAGGTCCATTCATGCATTTCAACATATAAACAAGATAGTTCATCATCCTTAGGGTTTTGATTCCACGCAATTTAACTAATTATTCAACTGATACGGGAAACCCTAAGTCAAAACAGACACTTTAAACCATTTAACATGCTTTGTGCAACAATTAAAATTAACACGCACTCACATTCTATCGTACCAGGGTATTTCTAACATACAATTCATGAAGAACACAAAAAATACCACACCCAAGGTCAAGATCCACTTCATGACTTTCAATAACAACAATGAACCATAATTCAAAGTTAAGGGGAAGCCGAGTACCTTTCAAGCAAAGGAAGTGGGTGATTGTGTGATGCTTTTAGACTCCAACAACTTCTTACTAGCCTTAGACACCGAACTCGGACACTGGAAACTCTGGAAAATGGGGAATGAGGGAATTTGGGAGAGAGGAAAGTGATTTGGGAATTTGGGGAAATGTAAAGGGAGTGATTTGTGGGATTTAGATGTCTGGGTCGGGTCAGGTGAAACCAGGGTTTGGACCCACGAAACCCCGTATACGGTTAGTGGGTCAACCTACGAACCGTAGATCGGGTCCGTAGGTCACTTTCACACTTAGAAAAATTAGAGATCTTACCTGGGATCTATGGACACTATTCATGGTCCGTGGATGGGGTCTGTAGACCTCTGGACAACCCTTTTTCTACATATTTTGCTTTTCATCCCTACACATGTAGCAACCGTTAGGCCTTTTTTTTTACATTTTTTGGACACTTTCTAGAAAAGGACCCTATGCTATATCTAGCAAACACTAAAAGAAAAATAAAATACCAATCTAAAAATTACATAAAGTCAACTAAACAAAGAAAACTCCTAAATCAAAAACAAAAACCTATAACTGGCTAGATTGTACATCTTGGGTTGCCTCCCAAGCAGCGCTTGATTTAATGTCCTGGCACGACGCTGGCCTCTTGATTACTCAAACTTCATCAAGATAGTAGGCCTCAACCACCTCTTGCACATTCTCCCCTTTGCCCATGTAGACCTTGATCATTTGCCCGTTTACCTTGAACCTTGTTCCCTCATTGTTCTCGAGCTCGATTGCTCCATGTGGGAACACTTGAGTGACTATGAATTGCCCGGTCCACTTGGACTTGAGCTTGCCAGGAAACAAGCGCAACATAGAGTTGAATAAAAGCACCAGATCACCCACAACAAATTCACGCTTTTCGATCTTTTGATCATGATACTTCTTCATCTTCTCTTTGTACAAGGCTGAACTTTCATAAGATCTTAGGCAAAACTCATCAAGCTCATTCAAGTCACTTACTTTCTGATTTGATGCGGCGCCCTAATCCAAATTCAACTTATTCAGTGCCCACATAGCCTTATGCTCTAGCTCTACCAGCAAATGGCAAGACTTCCCATATACAAGTTGGTAGGAGGACATACCTATGTGAGTCTTGAATGCGGTGCGATATGCCCATAGAGCATCATCAAGCCTCCTTGACCAATCAGTTCTATTTGCATTAACAGTCTTAGCAAGAATTTGCTTGATTTGTCTGTTGGACACTTCAACTTGCCCACTAGACTACGCATGGTAAGGAGTGGGAACATTGTGGTAGACGCCATGTTTCTCAAGTAGCGCATTGAACAACTTATTACAGAAGTGGGAACCTCCATCGCTGATAATCGCCCTAGGTGTACCAAATATGAAGAAGATACTCTTTGAATACAGTGACACTTTTACCTTCATTATTGGAAAGCGCATTTGCTTCCACCCACTTTGACACATAATCAACCGCAAGAAGAATATACTTCATCCCATGTAAACTCATAAATGGACCCATAAATTCAATGCCTCAAACATCAAACAACTCAATTACCAAGATCGGATTCATAGGTAGCTCTTGCCTCTTTGAAATTCCTCCTTCTCTTTGGCAACGATCACAAGACTTGGTGAAATCATGAGCATCTTGGTGGATGGTAGGCCAATAATACCCAGACTGTAAAATCTTATGCGCAGTCTGAATACCACTATGATGCCCACCAACAGGCGATGAATGACACACCTCTAGTATACTCAACATTTCAGCCTCGGGCACTCAACGACGAATAATCCCATCAGCACAAATGCGGAACAAATAAGGCTCATCACAAAAGAAAATTTTCACATCATGCATAAAAATTTTCCGCTGGTGAAAAGACAAATCTGATGGAACCAGATCACTTGCCAAGTAGTTAGCAAAGTCTGTGAACCAAGGAATCAGATCATGAGAAGCAGCCAATACCTGTTCGTCTGGAAAAGCATCATCAATTTCAGCCCCATCTCCTAGCTTGAGCATAGCCTCTTCCTCTTATCTGGACAAGTGATTGGCAACCTGATTTTCTATCCCCTTTTTGTCTTTCACCTCAATGTCAAACTCTTGCAGCAACAATACCCATCTAATCTTCCTCGATTTTGCATCCTTCTTAGCCATCAAATACCTCAATGCAGAATGGTCAGTATGCACTATGACCTTAGTACTAAGCAAGTAGGATCGAAATTTCTCGAATGCGAAAACCACCACAAGGATTTCTTGTTCAGTCACTGTATAGTTCTTTTGAGCCACATTTAGATCTTTGCTTGCATAGTAAATAGGATGAAGAATCTTCTCTCGCCTCTGTCCCAATACCACACCAAGCGCTATTCCACTCGCATCACACATTACTTCGACTCCGTGTACTTGGCATACACTAGAGCAGAAACCTGAAGAAAAAAAAACAAAGAAAACATAAAAATTAGGAAATAATTGACTAAAGTTCAATAATGTAG